GTTAATGTATGGATTTATGATGGATATTTTACTACTTTTGTGAAATCCTTACTATTTATGTGAACTTGAATTGTGCATGTATATATATATATGTATTGTATGATTTTTGACTAATTCCACATCCGGTAGGTCATTGACTGACTCATGGATCTATGGAATGCTATGTATGTATGTATGTATGTATGCATGGTGGGGATACTATCATTAGTAATGACTGTGTAGAGTGCCCACGTCATTACTCCATCATTATCCAGTTTGCTTTGTGGAGTCAGAATGGCAGTAACTAGACATGGACAGCGAAAGTGAGTTCTCCGTCACTGAATCCCCTACAACTGAGGTCAATGCAGAAGAGGGCGAAGTTCTTCGAAACTTCGTAGAGACATATGAAGCCTTGTCGGAACTGTGGAACCCTACTAACCCAGTGTATTTAAATAAGACAAAAAGAAATATAGTCTTGGACAAACTGCTGAATATATACATTAAAATAAAACCAGGGGCTAGTCGCGCTGATGTGAGACAAAAAATCAACACTCTTCGCTGTAACTACAGGAAGGAATTAAACAAAGTTCTAACATCTGAGAGATCAGGAAGCAGTACGGATGAATTGTATCAGCCTACTTCCTGCTGAAGAACAAGAAGATGCATTACCTACATTCTTTACAAACTTTAAACCCTAATTATGATCCTTTATGTTGTTCTGTAACAGTTTCATTGCTAGTTTCATGTTTCATTAGTCACTTGCTTTTAAATAGAATTTTTGTGTGTTTCATTGTTCATGATATTGCAGTCTAATAAATAATTTCTAACTAGTTGATGTGTTTTAAATATACCCTACCGCACTTGAATTTTAACTTATACAGTGAGCAAATCAATTATACAAAAGAGGACTGGCCTTCATATACTCTTGCATGACGTATATAAGCACTTCACATGTTTCAACAATAGCAACGCTTATTGAAGCAGGTAACATGACAGCTGAAATCTTGAGGTCTTCAAAGTTTCTTCATGTAGCCAGGTACCTCAGGGTCACTGCTAATCTTTCATTCACCGGTAAACTCTCCCTCATATTAGTGTCCTTCCTTATTAACAATGGTTCGACCATTCTCAGCAAATTATCAAATGTTCTTTAATCCTCTGATTCCATCACACCAATTTCTTTTAGCAGAACAACATGGGAATATTTTGAATTGTACACAATACACAGCGCGTAAGATACACCCGACCACAAGCCCACACAACCCCGTGCTGACGCCTCCCCCCATTGGGACGATTCACCAAGAAGGAGCCTGAATATTTTACTTGAACGTTTTTTAATTTTTAACTTTAAATTTTAAAGTTGACGACTCGGTTTGAGGGTGGTTTTTTTAGATGCAAGTGCTATACCTGCATTCAAGATACTGGGAAGTGTTGTGCTTTACACTCCGATATATGTAATAGTTTCCACAAATAACTACATACTGTGGATGTTGAGCTGTGCCAGTGTTTTCATGATTTGTTGTAAGTGCCTCTGAAGATGGTTCCTTGGAACCGAAACATGTAAGGCAGATGAGATAAATAAGTGACCAAAATATATATTGTTGCACTTGATGGAAAATCTATTGACAATTGGTAACATGGGAATACTTTTCACATTTTTGTAACCAGTTTTTCATCCAGCGTCGGCACTTAACATTTCATTTTGTGCCTAATACTAAAATTATAGGAATACACGCTTTTCTGCAAGGATCCATTATAATCCTCAAGAAAACTGATACAAAATAAATGTGCTTCTCTCGTGATTCAAGCGGTACTGAAGCAAATAATGTCATTTCTAATGATTAAGGTTGAAAAGTAATGAAGGAAGGTAATGACATTATTACTGATCGTGTAAAGTCCACTTTAGAGGCTGAATTGGCCCCAGGGCCATAGCGCAGCTGGAAGGATTGATCCTGCGACCATCCAGCTTGTAGCACAGTGCCTCAGCCAACTACACTACCACATGCCCCCATTTATAAACCAATGGAACAGTTATTTACATGGCATAGATCCGTCATAAGCCTAAGCCAAGGATGTGGAACATGTTATAATACTAATGCCAAACTCGTTTGCATTGTCAATCTAAATATAAAAAGTTGTAATCGATGTTTACAGACAGTACAGAATTACACCAAGATAATATCAAAGAACCATCACGATAATTACTTGACATGTAGTTAGAATAGAAAATTTCTCGTTACGGTAGGGTAGGCGACACTGGCTGAAACCATTTTATGTCATAGTTCAGACATTTGATTCTAGGAGGAAGGTTACTGAATAATGTAATCCTAGTAAAGTTTTTTGCATAATATATATTGGTATCCAAGCAGGTTCCCTGAACACATAATTAGTGGAGGTGGGGGAGAACTGTGTTCGGAGTTCTTTTTTAAAAGGGGTCTGTTCGAGCAAGAGAAGTCATAGATTTTTTTCCCACCATTAGCCAGTAAGTTGTCTGCATTTAGATTAAGCACACAAGTTGATTAACGGACTGTACAGAGCGTACACCGTGTGGCATCTGTAACTAGTGATGTCAGATTTCACACTAGAGTATGTGTAGCTTCATTGAAGACATATGTTATTGTATTGTGGGTCACTGCAGGTATTCCCTGGCACGACAGAAGGAATGATTTTTTCTGATACCGTTCGGTTATTTTTCAAAACCCCATTAACATTTGTATTGCTCCATCTACTTGTATTGGTTGTTTCATCCTTGAACAGCCATATATTTTCTTCCTGCACAGTACTCTAATTTTGTTCTGTCTGTCTTCATAGCACTTAAGTAGATAGTTTTTCTTTAAAGCTGGTTTGCCTAGAGGATTTTTCTGAGTATGTTATAAAAGTAATTTACAACTTTGGGGTTATTTTTTTTTAAGTTGTGTGCTGTGGGAAAGGATAGCATAGCATATTACAAAAAATGATTGAAGGGAACATTTGTGGCTCTGAATATGTCAATGTCCCTGCAAATATTAGCAGCTGATGCAGATCTAGCAGGGGGATAACTTTTACATGAGGAACAGACATTGAACAAAAGAGAGTCTGATATATCGAGGAGGAACCCAGACCAAGAAATTGCAAAATAGAAGGGCAAAATTTGAAACCAAGGTAAACTTGAGTGAGAAAGAGAGCATCGAAGCAATGTCCCCTAATATGTAGAGTGCGCAATTTTAACTCTAGAGCAAAAGAATAACGTTAATGGACTTCAATAAAGAAACAATTTAAACAGAGGGCCATAAACCTCTGCTGGATGTGTTCCACATGTTTGGCATCAGTTGACATAATTGAATTCCAGACTACAGAAGCATATTCAAGTCTAGACCTAACTAATGCGATGTGTGAATGAATGAATGTATGAGGGGTGGGCCTTCTTGGCCCTTGCACCATGACCACAGTGATCTATTGTGCCTCCCCTTCTGATTATCCCCTTAACAATCCTGCACTTCGAATGAAGTGCAGGATCTTGTATGTGGGGACGTCGGAATAGTCGCTTGGTTCCATAAAATATTGACCCAAGTGGCACAGTCTTAAACAAGCTAAGGCCTCACATTCACACAGGATATGTGTGGCAGTTTCGTTTTCTTCTTGACACCTCTCACAAGTTGGACTGTTACTTAGTCCCAATTTGAAGAGGTGTCCTTCGAGGTGACAGTGTCCTGTAAGTAGTCCTACCACCCATCGTAGCTGGTTCCTTTTTAACTTCAACAGTTCCTTCGCTCGTTTAGTAGAGGGTCCTCGTATGAGTCCCTTTGCTTGCCTGAGTCCAGTTAAGGATCCCCAGTATTTATTGTGATTCATATTTGTCCAGTCCCTGATTGACTGTCTGGCAACCCTATAGAGATGCCACAGGCTGGTTCAGGTCCTATGAACAGATGTTCAGCTCCAATCTTAGCTAATTGGTCTGCTGTTTCATTTCCAGCAATACCCTCATGCCCTGGCACCCATATCAGCTGTACCCTGTTATGTTTGGCCACTTCCATGAGAGTTTGGTGGCAATCCCAGACCGATTTTGTGTTGTGTTTGTCAAGCGCTTTAAGTGCAGCTTGACTGTCAGATAGAATGTAGATGTTCATATTTCTGCAGTTCCTATCTAGATTCTCCATAATACATGCCTTAAAGGTATATACTTCTGCCTGGAATACCATCATGTACTGCCCAAGGCTGAAACTAAGTCTCTGCCTCGTGCCATAGCAGAACACACCAGCTCCAGTGCCCTTATTTATCTTGGAACCAATCTGAGCATACATTCTAGAGATGAGAAATTGAAAGTAATGCTGTGAACTAGATCCAACAGCTTAATACAGTGAGAAAAAATATAGTTGACATTGCCATGGAAATTATGTTTAGTGTCAATAAATACTCCCAGCTCTTTCATAGAGTCGGTCCAGGTTATAGAGGATTGGCAAAATTTATAATCATATATCAACGTGGTTGCTGGAGTGGCAGCAGCTGCACCAGTTGCCCGTTGTGTTGGGCATGACTGCCAGAGAGCCAAGGCAGCTGTCCCTGATGCCATGGAAAGCCGATGACTCCGAAGACCGGTCGCACTGGACTGATGACTGACTGGCTGATGTGGTCACTGATGATTGCGAGCTTTGGGCGACACTTGCAGTTGTGATTGTGAGCGCTGATTGGCTAGCGCACGTTATGATCTAAGTGTGAGCTGGACATCGAGTGTTGTTTAAATACGAGTGCTGCCAGCAATGTGATTGGTTAGTGCGCGTGATGGTGAAAAGTGAGCTGGACAGCAGGTGCTATTTAATATGAGAGCTGACAGCAATTTGCCATTAATGACAGACCCAACCTCTCGTGAGAGAGGGCGCCCCACATAGACAAGACAGTAACTTTCATTCGAAAGAATGGGGCTTGACACCAAGACAGACAGACTGACCAACCGTCAGTTGCAACACGACTTTGACATATATCAGTACATTGGTTTTCCTGGAGAAGGATATAACTATTTTTACTGATGCTGAGTTTCATACAGTTAGCAGTGCACCAACCTTGTATAGAGTTACTGTTAGAAAGAATAATAATAATAATAATAATAAAGCAAGAAGTAAAGCTGTTCCCTCTACATAATTAATTGAGCAGTACACTATGAAGATGTATGGAGGAGTGGAGATATGGCTTAATCATTCTTGCCCAGGTACTAGGTGAAGGTGAGCAGTCAGCTTTGCCCCCCCAGGAAATGTTATATAGTCTGAGCTGTTTATACAAGCATGTGTGTCCTGAAGGAGCAATGATTCTTGCTTCTGGTGACACACCCAACCTAAAGCTAAAGTCACTTTTAATACTGCACAAAAACTGGCATAGACACATTTGGCAAAATGTGTGCTGCTTTCATTGTTGCAGGAAACACCTGCAGATGGCTTACAGTTGTGTCTTTTTTTTTAAATCCTTGAACTGTAATAAATGCATTTGTTATATATGTTTACATCAAAGTAGCAATGTAATGGGAAGGAAATTTTTTAAGGATTTGTTCAAGAACAGTGGAAAGAATGACCCATTTCCAGATTCCTTATGTCATTAGGTATAAAGTCAGCAGTGGCAGGAAAAATTGTGGATGTATACTCTGAGTACCTGTGAAAAGAAGGTGCCATCTGTGCACAAAGAGGAATAGAGAAACTCAGTATTTTTGCAACAAGTTCTTCATGTAGAGTGTTAGTGCTTAGACCATGTGACCATTTTAAGTATGAAAACTTAGAATATTATCCAGAGAAGTCTTATGATGGTTTTCTTTAACCTCTATCACACATGCACTGATTATTAAGGTCAGCCTCTTTCATATTTTTCATTCGGTACTAATATTGCACCCCTCTCCAAAATTTAGAAAATGGCTGGCAGATGTGCAGAGCAGGAGATATGAAATCCATTATTCCCTGATTGTAAACTGTTTTCCCTCAATTGAAATATGAATATGAAATATGACCACCAACCCTTTGGTATATGGAGATTTAAAACCCCCCTGTAATCTTATAGCAAACGTTAATTTATATTTTTATGTCGACTCTAGTCTGGAAGCTATGGCTGTGATTCCACAGTTATCACATCAGATTCATACTTTTTTTATTGCTAGTGGGGTGGGACTAAGTCCCTTGTACTGCAGCCACTTCTGGCCTATTGTACCAGCCCCAGATGATAGGTGAGGGTGATTGTGGAGCAATTGGTGGAATGAAGATTGGCAGGGGAAACCAAAGTACTCAGAGAAAACCTGCCCCAGCGCCACTTTGTCCACCTCAGATCCCACTTGACCAGACCCTGGATCGAACCTGGGCCGCCGCACTGGGAAGCCAGTGACTAACCGCTTGAGCTATGGCGTCACCACAGATTCATACCTTTGTATGATTTGTTTTTGACATATGTTACTTTTTGATAATTTTTCTTTTGTCGTAGACAGTATATTAAGGAATATGCACCCTATTATTTGGGTGTAATTATTTTCATTTTGTTTTGTCAATAGGTTAACTAGAAGGTGGTACACCAGGAATGATGGAATCTTCTGTAGTGGAAGGTGAAGAATATTATAATCCAGAAGGAAGTGAATGGACGCAAAAGGTCGAAAATGGCCAATTATGCCGTGTGTGTGCCAGTGCAAATGAGTACCTCATACCCATTTTCGATGGGGAAGGGTTGGAACATGAACTTGGCATGAAGATTCAAAAACACCTTCCAATCAAGGTAATGTGCATTTGTCTCTTACTTTGTAGATATACAATAGTAATTCACCATTCAATCAGCGGCCCTCATTCCTTTCCTCCTCGTATACTTGGTGTTTTCTGTGCTTTGTGTTTTCTCTTTGCCTACCATTTGCAGTCTGTGCTGGTACTGCAGTATTAGTTCCGTTAAGACAACTGGCTTTGTAAAGGGGGTCATTATCTGCTATATCATAAATGTCATATGTTTTTATTCTTGGTTTTATGCTGCAGTTGGTGGGAGTGTTCTCAGGTTTTGATGTTTACTTGTAATTCTACTTGAACACGTCATGCATTAGAGTTGTCTCATTTTAACAAACTCCCGTTTTCCTGGCAATTATGGGCAATAGAGTGTGATAGTTACACAAGAACCTTACAGTAAATACACCCTAGCTAAGAAGGCTATATAAGCTTTAAACAGAGGTGAGAAGTAAGACAGTCGAAACGAAGTGCACTCTGGGTTGTTTTGAGTGAAATGGCTAGTTTACTTGCAGTGTGCGGGGCACTAAAATTATTATTGTACAGTATGATGAGTTTCAGAGTTATTTTCATTTTGGACTCAGTAGGTAAAGATACCATCTTTGACTATGTGTGAAACAAATCCTGTGCTTTGTTACTATCATGTACTAGCAAGTACCAAAGTATGGAAATAGTTGTTATGAACTCCCGGTGGGTATGGTCCAGGTAACCAGCTAAAATGCTACTGTTAGCAGTTTTATAGGGCTAATCCAGAGATCATTGTCAGACATAAAGAGCTATTAATGTTCCTTGATTTAATTAAACTTTTTTTTTTTGGTAGTTGTAGTGTTGTGTGGCTACAGGAGCTAGTGCACAATACGTGATTTGTGCTTCCAGCTCATGTTTATTTTGACATAACTTGCTGTCCATGTTACTGTGAATAGTTTCACTGTTTATTCTTTGTGTACACTCGCGCACACATGCGGGGATTCATAGCATTCTGCTGTGCAGATAGGTAAGAATATAAGTATGTAGCTAAGGCATCAAGCAGCAAGAAGTGTTTGAATCCCAGTGATAGTTGTGGTATATTAGAAAGGGACAGATTAGTAGAAATTCTTGAGTCAGATGAGAGTAAATTGTCAGACACAGATGAAAGCAGTGAAGTGATTTCCATATGGAAGAAAACACTTTTTTTTATTATTATTCTACACATGATAAATTCAGGTGACTTATTTCATCCATGTAGAGGTAATTATTTCAGTTTTTGTTTGGGTACAGTTTTTGGTTCTAAGAAAGTGAGAGAATAATGTAATCTTACAAATGGCCAGTGTTTGGACATCACCAGAGTTCTTAACATTTTAGTTCTTCACAACAGTAACAGGTAAACAGTTACTTCATCAAGTGTTTTATATTTATTTATTTATCATGACATGCCATCCGTCTTTGCGAGAGAACTGAACTGCATACAGACATCTGTGTCTGTAGTGTATGGACACCAGTTTTCTGATTGGAATAAAGATTCTTTTAAGACATCTGAGCATATGTGGCCCCCCTTTAGGAGGGATCAGAAGTTAATATACAGTCAACTCTCGATTATCCGGGATAATGGTGGGCATGGAAATCACGATTAATCGAAAACCCGTTTAAGACAAATGTTATTAAAAGTAGTACTGTAATACTGTACCTTCATAATACTATAGGCCTACCTGTATTTAAATTTACTCAACCTCATTTTTATGTCATCTCATGGCCTATTTAATACTTTTTTTACATTATACTGAAGTGTGAATTAGTTATTTCAATCACAGTGTTCAACAACATCCAACATTTTTACGAATATTCACACTTAACACTTAAAAAATTAATATTGTCGTTTGCTTTTTTGCGGCATTTTCCTTTTTCTGTTGAATACTTAACACAACACGCTTCCTTTTACATCCTGATATTTTGCTAACGCACTTGAAGATCGATACAAAGATACTAACTGGGGCGATGTATCTGTCCTTGAAACTTTCCACAAATCCTTGCATTCTTTCACCCCTACCCTAGAACATTGTGTTAGCATAACAGGACCAAAGAATGCAGAGCACGGTTCACACCAGTGTGAAAATAATGTTACAACTCACCGTGTGAAACAAAAGTGAATGAATATTAAACAACATGTAAGCCTCAAAAAAGCCTCAGTAGCCCCGGTTAAGCAGCAGACCGGTTAATCCGCCCCCGGATAATCGAGAGTTGACTGTACTAGATCTCTGTATCCGATGTTTATGTAATTTACTTCACTAGATTATTTAATTTCGGAGTATGTCACATGGCAGTTTTCCATTACTGATACTGTTAAATAATTCAATTCAAAGCTATGCCATAATTCAAACTCCTTAAAAATTGAACCTGTAACAAGGTTGTAGGTGACTTTGTAGATATGTTAAGAAATGAATTGCTTTCCCCCCAGGTGACAGAGACTGATAACTTGCCTCAGCAGATGTGTTACCAGTGTGCGTCTACATTAATAGCTTGGCATGATCTTGTCATTAGTTGTGTAGAGGCTGATAAGAAGTTGAGAGAATTACAAGTGGAAGGAGAAGAAGATGATTATGATGACAAGGGTGCTGAGGTAAGAACAGAACCTAGGCTGAATACCTTGTGAAATTTTACATCACAGTGTAATTTATAAATCATAATGCAAATAACTCCACAAATTCCAGGCACTGGGTTGGCTGTGCACCTGCATATTTCATGATGGTTCTTAGAATTACTATTTTGTGTTTTTGTAGCATGACTCATTAAAGGCGATGGGCATAAGATTTCCTTTCTGTCTTTCCATTTACTTTTCATATCTTTGCCTCTTTCTCTCCTTTTTCAGACATTGCTTTCCCATCCATTTTGTTTGTACTGTTGTCCATCTTCCAATTTCTTTCTCTTCTTTTAAAATAAAAACTGTTCCTTCACCCCTGTTCTTACATTTATCTATTCCTTTATCTCATTTCTTCCCTACTTCCTTCTCATGCCACAAGTGATGTCATAGTCACTGAAGAGTGAAGGGGAGAGAAGGCAATATATTGGTACCTTCAGATGTGCAAGTAGTAGACAAAAGAATCACTATCTGTGATTGTCATACTAAAAACATGCCAAATCTGAGGGCACACCATGCCATGGTAACAAGGGACTCATTCAGCATTGGTGTTTACTTTTCACTAACAGCTTTCACATGGATGCTATAGCAAAGTCAGTCTTGTAGCTCAGTGTTTCTCAACTGCTGGGCCCAGCTCGGTACTAGGCCCTGGCATCAATTATACTGGACCCTCTTAGGTCACAGTCTGACAAAGATTGAGAACCACCAGCCTGGTATCAACAGAAAACTGTTTTTTTTTTCTGGCATAAGAATTTTGCTGGGTTGTAAAGGAGTTTGTTATTTATGTAAGTTTTGAGGTTTTCATGGCGATGACTATGAAGAAAGTCGTCTTCTGGGTTTAGGCGCCGTGTATTCTTCGGCGCCTAAACCCAGAAGACGACTTTCTTCAGAGTTTGTTATTGTTTATATATGTTTTGATAGTCCTTTTGTTAAAAAAATTAGCAGATTTCTCACCTACTCTATTTTGTTTTTTCTGGCTTCTAATTTTTTAAGATGGCTCTTAAATCTGTATCAAATTTGTGTAGGGCTGCATATGTAAACAATCACAGGATATCCTGGAAAGTGAAATAGTATATGTTTTAGTAACATTGTTGACAATACTACAATTTTTATTTCAGGTATTTGAAACTCCATCTCTAGACTCTGAAATGACAGATGATGTTCAGGCAAGCACATCTGAAACACAAAACCAGGTTTCAAAGATCAAGTCGCCGAAGAAAACGGCTGTTGTAAGTATATTAATCTTACTCAGGTTTTGTATTCATGTTCCATTCCTCTAAGGTTGTAAATTTTCTGATAGAAAGATTTAATAACTAGAAGTTACATGTTAGGATATGGAATTTTTTTTTTGTTGGTGGAGGGATATATTGGTGTTTATGACAGCATGATATAAAATTGATTTTGTAATTTCAGAGTAAGGAGAAGAAACCAAATTTGAAAATGGTCCTAGTGAAAGGACCACCACCTGGCTCATCTGGACAGAAGACTGCTTCAAAGACTCAGGTTGCAAAGGCCCTGGAGTTAGCCAAATCCAAAGACAGTGCCAATCAGGATTCAGCAAGTGAAAGGTAGGTGAATTTCCATGTTATATATATTAATTTTGTGCCCAAGTTCTTCCCAATATTGCTTCTCTTCAAGAGAAACTTCAGGATATGAGGAACAGTCTTCAACCTTGAAAGAAATCTTTCTTAGGTGTATACAAGTAGGAAGCATTTGTGTTGTAACAGAATTATATAGGAGTATGCTATTTTTGTTTTCTGCTGTCTTGATGAAAAAGTCATAGGCTTGGTAGATGGGAAGTTTAAACATTTCTATTAGGAATACTCAGTTTTTCTAATAGTGAAATACATAATGAAGCCGAAGGTAATAAATGTCAGGAATTATAAAACAGTGAAGAGGCAGGTGGTTGAAATTAAAGCAACTAATATTACATTTGCCGAACATTCTTATGGTGCACAAAACTTTTCTATCTGTAGATTTGCTGTGTGCTTAAAGTGCATATATCTCTCACTTCCCCCTCTCTTTTTTCTTGTGGTGAGGAAGGAATTCAAGTTGTGATTTTTGGAATCATGATGTATTCTTTTTATCATGTACATAATGTATGTGAGAAGACAGTGCTGGTGTGAAGAAAATCTCAAACTGGATTTATATGTTTTGAGTCCCCTGAATAAGAAAAGCTGGTTTTTGAAATTCTGTATCTATGTGTATGTCACTAGCACCTGAACAGTTTGATGGATTTTATTCATGTTCAGTATTTAAGAGTTTATCCATCATGGATGTGTGTCTGGTGAATATGAACACGTTAGCTCCAAAGGTAGGGTCTTTCGGGTGGGTACAAAAATAGCACAGTGGTGATATTAAAAAATGCCTCTAATTGCTTTGATTAAATTTCCGTAATTCAAGGAAACCATCTCCATAAATTAATTTGTGTAGGTGATATCTTCAGGAAAGTAATGGTTCACATACTGGGGTCCAGATTCAAGAAGTTAATTTTGTCAAAACATGCCTTTCTAGTCCGGATTTTGTTGTTTGGTAGTCAGTGCAACTAGCGGTCTACAAAGCAGTAGGTGGCTTAAGTTACTCAGTTTTGGCTGCCTTCTCGTTATAAATAGTCTCCTTAGGAACGTATACAGCAATCCCATCATTTTTTCCTACTCTTCAAAAGCACTGTGGAAGCCATTTTCCGTAATGATGTTGAGTACCCTTTGGGTGTCAGACACTTTCAAAATGTTGTCACTTCAGTTTCATTTTCAATTTGGGAAACAGAAATCAGAAGGGGCTGAGTCCAGCGAGTAGGGAGGATGGGGAACGATAACCATGTTGTTGCTAGTCACAGACTGTGGTTTCCGTGGATGTGTGGGTGGGCACATTGTCTTGATGAAGGGGCAATGCACAACATGTTCAGATCTTTTGTTAAGATCTGGAAAATTCCATTACTGATCCCAGTAGTGTCTGCAAGGTTATGGTTTGTTCAGTGACAGTCTTTGTGGATGAGTTCTCAATTTTTTCAACATTTTCTGTCGTTTTGCTGGTGCTTGGTCTCCCTGAACGTTGATTATCTTCAACTGACACTCAACTGTCCTTGTAACATAAATGCCATTCAAAACCTGCTGGCCAATTTAAAGCTTCACAAAGCATTTCAAGGGTTTCGGTAGCGGATTTACCAAGCTTCATGCAAAACTTGATGCAGATATGTTGCTTGATTTTGCCATCCATCACAGACAAAATGAAACACTAAGTCAAAAAGGATTCTTGTAGAAACTGTGTGTTGACAGCATGGTGTCAAGTGGCAAACTGATGTGGTAGGCTTTCAGAAGTGTGACCTTGGCTTCCCTTCTCATCCCCTTTCACCAAGGCAGTGACAATAGTCCGGAAACTTTCCAGTACCATCTCATAATGCTTGACAGAACCACTCGGAAATTCGTGCTCAGCCTATTTTCCACCTCCAGATGCTGTTTCCATCAGTTTGTTCAATTTGGTCACCATCTATCTGATTTCAGTATTTTATGCACACACCTTCATTGCCTTCAGGTATCAATATAACAAAATGTTAATTCATCACAGTCAAGTCTGTGCACATTTCGATCTGTTTTTTCCGAAGTAGTTATTCTTTGGAGTTTTGATGTTAACTACCCTATCATCATCACAGTTTTATCAGTTCTGTATTGTTGGAATTGTTATATTTTTTTACTGCTTCTGCTTTTGAGTGCATTGTGTAATGATTTAGTGGTGATGCCTGTGGTTTAATTTCCTTGATCATAACCATTTCTGTTTTTAATTTCTTTCCCTCTTAACCAAAGAGAATGTTACTTGAAGGAGAGCATTTGCTTAGGAAATATTCTTCTGATGTTACATACTTTGTGGATAGACCAAGTTTTGAGATGTGGCATAATTGTGAAGGAATGTTTAAGTTTGTACAGACCCAATGTTTGATGAGAACTGATTTGAATAATAATATTTGTGCGAATGTTTACTATGTTTACATGATTTTTGTTACTAAATTTAAGAGCCCTGTTCTTTAAAAAATGTAGGTGTAATATTGGCTATTAATCAGAAGTTGAAAAATGAAGAATCAGGTTGGGTTTCTAGCCCAAAATGTGGAAGATTTGATCTTACTGCTGCCTGTCTTTTCTATCTCCCATCTCTCCTCATTTCTGTGAGTGAACATGCTGCTGGAACAGTTGATGGGGATGTGTTTCAAGTCATATCTGGTCTGTCATTTCCAAGCAAAAATTTTGTGACATGTTTATTGGGAAGTGTGGTAATGAGTAGTCTCACTATGCAGATTTTTTCATTTTGCACATTGCATGACAAATGTAAATTGATGCTATGCTGAAGAGTGTATTAATAGAACAGCATTCTGTAAATGTGCATATCCGAGTTTACCGTAGAGCAGTATTTCCCAGCTGGTATTCTATGGAACCACAGGTTCAGCAAAATGAAAGTAAGGTTCCCCAAGAAAATTCCATTGGACTATAAAATAAAATACAGCTGCAGATTTGAGAATTCAGCTTTCCAGCATCAAATCAAACATGAAAAGCCACTCTTTGCATAAAAAAATACAAATATGTGGCATATTAGTTAATTTTTTTTTTAATGTGTGGTACCTACAACTAAATAACATGTCATTTTCTTGTTTATCATCTTCCTTCCTTCCAGTCATGGTTTGTGGCTTCGTATGTGAGAATTTTATTAGGAGTTCCTTAATTTTTTTCTTTTATGTAGAAGGGGCTCTGTGGCTAGATTAATAGATTGGGAAAGGCTGGTGTAAAGGAATGGAAGAACAAAGAATAATTTAAGGATATAGGTTCCAAACACATGGTGGTTGCCATGTGTGGTTGTGGTTTTTGCCCAGAATGTATTGATGTATTTTTGTAACACTTCTCGCTACCAAATACATTCAATTTTTTAAACTTTTTTTTGGGGGGGGGGACATACCAAGAACATACTTGGTAAGTCAGTGGAGGAGGGTGGTACCTAAGAATTTTATTTGGATAGGCACTAACATTATTCTACTTTAAAATTTACTCGGGGGTCCATCTTGTTGGATATAGCCTGGTGAATACAGTAATATCATAAATTTGCTTTGACATCATGACTTGCCAATTTTGGAAATGTGGAACCTAACCATAGCTTGTTGCTTTTCTGTAAATGTATTGCATTCAAAAACAAACAGATTTTCCAGGTTTCAGTTTATGGATTATTTTTAGATTTATGATCCTGTAGGGTGTATTGTGAAGGATGTACTGGTAAGTACAAGCTATTGGGAAGAGCTTGGTGAAATTTGTACATAGGCTGTACATTTGGTTTATTTGCTATATGATACCAAGTTACTAAGCACTGATGTATTAATCTCAGTGCTCTGTATGTCTTTTGTTCAGTACTTAGAATGCAATATATACAGTGTCCCAGAAAAAATATGTGCGCATCCTTTGTTCACTTGATTAAGGTTAAGGCATACAGGTCTTAGTTGAATATCAACTTTAGTCAAGTCACAAATGCCCACCGTTAGTGTTGGTGCCTTGTGGACAGCAGCTAACAACAGTTAAGCAGTTAATTTATTTTGTTTGTGGGTGGTAAATTAGCTGTAAGAGAAATTCCAGTCTTTGTGGTCTCCATTATTGCTAGCGTTTTGGCATGCATATTTGTATATTATGCAGCAATGTCTTCACTGATGTTTGGTCAGGGGATAGAAATGTGTACTCCACTTGTGCAATGCCCTACCCATTGTCTTTTTATGTAAGTGATCATTTAGAAAATCTCTGCAGTTCTGATTAAAAGGGGATGTCATATAGATGGATGTAACAGCACTGTTTACAGTACCACTCAGTTGCATTATTTATTACATGTTGCTCTTAAATGTTGTCTTACTGTGCATATTTTTATGGGTTATATGAACATTAAAAGATGCGTACATTTTTCGTGGGGACAGTGTATATATTGAAAAGGCAGAAGGTGAGGCATTATTGAATTTAATGGACTATATGATGTACTTTCTTGACCAAAAGTACTTACTTGGTTGTCAGTATGAAAACACAGCATACCATACTTCTTCACAATTGTTTGCAGTGACAGCTAACAGGAGCAATATAATTTTCATTTCATGCATCCTGTTATGTTATAATATGTAACTTCTTTATTAAGACCATCGCAACACAACTATATCAAGGTCAGTGCCAGGTTTTGGCTCTGCTACATGTTTCGGCTATTAATAGCCATCATAAGGCAAATACATGGCAAACATATATACACTACTGAACTGCAGTATTAATGAAATTAATAAATATAAATTAAAGAAAACAGGGGAGAGGAGTGTGGTGTGTGTTTAGAAATATAAAGCACTGAACTGAACCATGTACATACATGTGTTGTACATTTTGAGCTCGCTCATATATGTATTTTTGATGTCTACGGGTTGTGATCGTGTCTTTGAAGGTAGATAATTTTTATGGTTGAAGTACAGACTTCAGAATCCTCCCTTGCCTTTCCCACTACAGTGTTTTGTAATCACAAAGAACAAAAACATGTATCAGATAATGTTCCAGAGTTACACTTGAAAGCCTTGTGA